AATTTATGAAGTTCTTTACTTTGTAATTTAAATTGTATTATATTATAAAATAATAATCAATAGATAAAATTCCACTTTACCATGAGAGCCCCTAAAAAGGTAATTAAACTTCTTTCCTCAATTCAAAGATCTTTCTTATGGGGGGGTAAAGGGGGGGATAGGAAAATTGCATGGGTTAGTTGGGAGAAAGTATGCAATAGTAGAAAGGATGGGGGATTAGGTGTTAAGGACTTGGAGAAATTTAACATGGCACTTTTAGGAAAGTGGCGATGGAGATTGGTGGTGGAGAAAGAAGCTTTATGGAACAGGGTAGTTGAGGCCAAATATGGGATTCACAGGAGAAGGGATTGGGAGGGGAGAGAGGTGAAAATGAATAGCTCATACTGGTGGAAGGCACTGTGGAAATTAGACAAAGAAAGAGGAAGTGATGAGGGATGGATGTACAAGGGAGTAGTAAAAACAGTGGGGGAGGGGAATGATACCTTGTTTTGGCATGAGAAATGGTGTGGGGATGCGCCATTTAGAGTGAAATTCAATAGATTATTTAGATTGGCAGAAGATAAGGATGCTTTAGTCAAAAATATGGGTGAATGGAGAAATGGAGAATGGATTTGGAAATGGAGTTGGAGTCGAGAATTGCTAGGACGTGAAAATACTCTTGTGCAGGATCTTAACAAGCTACTGCAAGGGAGCAAGCTGGAACAAGGACAACAAGACTCTTGGAGGTGGAAGTATGAATCGAAGGGAACTTACTCAACAAAATCTGCATACACCCTATTAAAAAGCAGCAATAGAGAGGCAGACACAAGAAGGTTTAGTATGTTATGGAATAATAAGGTGCCTCTTAAAGTCTCCGCATTTGTATGGAAAGGCATGCAAAATAGAATTCCCACTGGTGATAACCTGGTAAAAAGAGGAATAGTTGGATCAAATACTGATTTTGCATGCATCTTTTGTGGCAAACAAACGGAAACAGCCAGCCATTTATTCTTCACCTGTGATGCAACATGGGCAATTTGGCATGCAGCTTACGCGTGGTGGGGATTACAGGCAGTTCTTACGTGTGAAGGCTGGAAGCATCTGCAGCAACACATGGGTATGGTGCGAAATAAGAAAGTGAAGGAAAGTTGGTATGTGATATGGTTTACAATTATTTGGTCCATTTGGTTGTGGAGAAATCAACTAATTTTCAAAGAAGGTAATGACACTCCAGCCATGGTGCTGGACTTAATCAAGATGCGTTCACTATATTGGATTAGGGCCAAGCAAAATACAGAGTTGGCTAAGGAATTGTGGCTCGTGAACCCCAGGGAAGCATGTAAATGAAAAGGAATTTTGAATGGTTTTGCACTGGGATTGAATGGTCTAATGTAAGATGATGTAAAGGGTGGAGTACCCCTTGTACTCTTATGTTATTTTTAATAAAATTCATTTTGCCGATCAAAAAAAAAAAAAAAATTCCACTTTACATCAAATGGATTAAATTATACAATTTACTGCAATCTACACTATATAATATTTTTTAAATATATAATTAAGATAAATTTAC